CTACTGTAAGAGTGAAAGCTGCCACAGAGAACACACAGACAAACTGGCATCTTGATGTTCCAGTACAGTGACTACAGATAGGGTAGGAACTGAATCAGAAGCCATGGAGGAGGACTGCTTACTGGTTTTTTCCACATAGCTTGCACAGCCTGGTTTCTTACAGCGGCTAGAACCACCAGCCCAGGGATGGCACTGCCCACAGTGGGCTGGGCTCTCTCACATCTATCATTAGTTGCTTGTCTTACTTTGACAAAAACAAAACAAAACAACAACCAACAAAACAAAACAAAACAAAACAAAAACCCTAACCAGCCCAGTTGGTTTAAGACAAGAGTTTTGCTATGCAGTCTAGACTGCCCTCAATACCATGATTCCTCTGGCCCTACCCCCTTTTTTCTGCAATTGTAGGTATCCTGTCTTACTGATGTTTTGTAATACTGTTGCTTTGCAGTATTGGTACCAGCAAGGCTACTGATCTTTCCCCACAAAGAGCAGATCATAACTATAATTCCATGGGCCTTATGTACCTTTCACAGCTAGCTCTTCAGCTCTGCTACTGTAAGAGTGAAAGCTGCCACAGAGAACACACAGACAAACTGGCATCTTGATGTTCCAGTACAGATAGGAGCAGTGGCTGGAAGTGGCTCACATGCTGACACCTGGATGAGACTGCTCTCACCAGGGGTGGAATGGAATTCTTGACTCCCACCATTTCTGCAGGACAGAGGTTTCTTTACAGCTTGGCAGGACCATGATTTGTTATCTCCGACTTTTCCCTCATTACAGATTCTCCTCCCAGAAGCTGAACTGATACCCAGTCAAAACTTGAGACAATTAACTATTCCAACACCCTCATATTTAGTCCTTGGAGAAGGCACAATGAATGCTAACTCTTCTTTAAATCCTAAGTTTAAAACCACTTGTTCTGTGCAGTTGTGGTCCCTGCTCTTCCAATCAATGATACTTGGGCTGTCTCATGGCAAATCTCCTGAGAACACTGCTATGGGGCTTTGCTGAATGCTTGAGCACACCACACTAGAGCCATTCAGTTACTCAAGGGAGATTTAGACCAAGCTCCTTTGTTTCCAAAACAAATTGCTAGCTGTTCCTAAGTTTGAAGAAAAACCAAGTGTTCTACAGGATAATATGGATTACATCCAGCCACCAGAGATCTGTGAATAGAGGAGCCCGACCCACGTCTCTTTAGTCTGGGATCCACCTCATCCAGTCACACAAGTCTAGATTTCAAGGGAGATTTAGACCAAGCTCCTTTGTTTCCAAAACAAATTGCTAGCTGTTCTTAAGTTTGAAGAAAAACCAAGTGTTCTACAGGATAATATGGATTACATCCAGCCACCAGAGATCTGTGAATAGAGGAGCTCGACCCACGTCTCTTTAGTCTGGGATCCACCTCATCCAGTCACGCAAGTCTAGACTAGAAAATTGATCTTGTAAGGAACATAGAGTATTTGTAACAAAATAAGGGTCCACTGAGGTCCCTTCTGAGGAGCAGAGAGTCACATCAATCATGAGGTGTCCTAAAAATGACAATAAGAAACCCAGAGCAGGGCACTGATGTGTTTCTCAGGATAAGGCAGCTCCCTTCGAGTTAACACTGCCCTGTCACAAGCAGGGGGAACAGCACAGATGCAAACAGCATCATCAAAACCCATAGGCTGTGATGGACATTGTTACGATAAAGCTTTCCACCAAAAGCCTCCAAGCCCCACAGCCACGTGTGCGCTTTACGCCACCCGCCCTAGTTAGGGCCCAAATTAACACACAGAAACTTGTATTAGGTTCAAATGCTGCTTGGCCAATGATTAGGATTCTCATGTTTTAGCTCAGTCTTAATTATCATAAATCTATATATTTTATAAGACTTATCTTATAGAGGATGCCTTTTGCTGGCATCCTCTCTTGCCGGTGGCTCACATAGTGCCGCTGGAGGAGGAAGGGGGAAAAAGGGACACTTCCTGTTTCTCCTTGCTAAATACGAGTCTCCTTGCTATGTCACTTTTGGCCTGGATCACCACTTCTCTACTACATTTCCCAGAATCCTCTTTGACTCCTAGTCCTGTCTAACTTGCTGTTTAATTGGCCAAAAGAACTTTATTTAACAATCAATAAGATAAACATACACAGAAGCACATTCCCCATCAGGACATCATCGTGTCTGCCAACAAGAGCACACGTTAATGTCTTAAGGAGCATGAGGCAGGAGGTATAACAGCTCCTGCCTGAAAGCCTGTCAAGCACAGATCCCTGGCTGCCACACATCTGCAAGGCAGACAACCAGAGGAAGCCTTGAGAAAGCCAGCTTTTGATGGAGGAGGAGAGAACATATATCTAAAAATAAACATTTCTTAAGGCTTGGTCATTAATATCTGAGGTCCATAGTCTGCCAGTTTGAGGTATGCACATGAGAGCTACTTCCTGCCCAAGTTCAAATGCACCAGCAGACACTAACATGTGCTATGGTCTTCGGTCAAATATTTGAAAATCCAGGAGTAAGATGTTCTATTTTAGGAAAGGTTTCACTTCCTAGTGATCTTAAAATTTCAAGTCCTTTAGAACTCAGCATTAGCAGTAAGTCTTTGTGGGGATGGGGTAGGGTGGGCAGAACGAACCTCAAGAAACCTAACCATAGGGAGATGGCTCAGTTAGTAAGGCATTTGCCATGCCAGCATGAGAGAAGCTGAGTTAGGATCCCCAGGTCCACGTTTTAGAAAGAAGAAAGCTGAGTATGATGGATGATGCCTATGGGATGCCAGACCAGAAAGGCAGAGAAGGGTGGATCTCTGAAGCTTGCACGACAACCAGCCTAGCCCAATCACTGAGCTCCAGGTTCAGTGAGAGACCCTATCTCAAAGCATAGGGTGAAGAATAACCAAAGTACTGGTATACACATGCACACACACACACACACACACACACACACACACACACACACACACACGTACACACACAATATACACATACACAAGAAACAACACAACATCAAAGACAGAAGACATAAGTGAACCTACCTACAATGAAATAGATGGGGAACCTATAGAAGCTGACCCCTACCTTAAATACTATTCCAGATTCCTGAAAACATTACAGCTTTGGAATCCTTGACAATAGAGATATAATAACCTAATATAGCATAAACCCCGCCAGCTGGCACCTAACCACAAAACATACAGTCAAGTTATTTATCATATCCATTTTATTTTTCTGGTTTGTTTTGTTTTTTTGTTTTGAGACAGGGTTTCTTTGTGTAGCCCTGACTGTTTTAGAACTTGCTCTGTAGACCAGGCTGGCCTCGAACACACAGAGATCCACCTGCCTCTGCCTCCCAAGTACTAGGATTAAAGGCATGTGTCGCCACCACCTGGCTCCATTTTCTTATATAGTCTGTGTGTGTGTGTGTGTGTGTGTGTGTGTGTGTGTGTGTGTTGAAAACTCTTGAATTAAGTCCCTTGGCAAATTTCTAATATTTAGTACAGTATTATTATCTACAACTCTTTAAAAAAATAAAGTTGTACTTAAAAGTTCTAGAGACTAAAGCCTGGATTCACTTAGGGGAAGAGGGATGGTATTCAACTAACCATGATCTTCATAGCTGTGGAGAAGAAAATGAGGCATTTAACTAACATGGCATATGAACACTCCATTGTAAATCTTTGAAAGGCCAAAAACACCATTATGCCAGAGGCTGCCTTCCTCAGGTGAGTAGCTGACCCTGCCTGAGCCTCATTGTTTTGTGTTTCCAGAACAAAACCTGGAAGGCTGAAGTACTGCAACAAGGCTTGACAACAATCCCCTTCAAGTGTCTGTCACTCCCAAAGCTCATTGACAGACCCTAGTTTCCAGTATCTCTGGGCAAAATGTCTACACAGAGAAGCTTTCTGATGTTTCTCAATTTAGCCACTAACTGGTAAGGTACATCTTTAGCACAGGATTTGAAAAAAAAATCCCACTAAGAGGCTTGCCAAAAGTCAATAATGGTTAGATGTATGGGGAACCAAGGACTTCACACTCTGACAGGAGCCTTTCCCATTCCAAGCAGCCAGTCACCTGCAGCCACAGTCTGTCTTCAATTATTCCAATTGCAGACAGCCTGCTACGCCTGTGGACTTCAGGGCTATATTCTGTCTTATTTATCTTTGGATTCCTAGTACCAATGCCTGGTGCCTGAGTCATTCAATAAACACCACTACAGTGAATGGAAATACCAGCCCTGGTAATAAATAATAACAGGGAAGGCTGGTTACAAGTCCAGATCCCAAGTGCCTTATACTTGAGGGATTAAATAAAACAATGAACCGCCACCTTCTGCTTTGGAGGGTGCTCCAGAAATGTTAGTAGTTATTATCTCTGACTTTAATTCTCACCCCTACTGAGATGGAGGCATTCCTATTTCCATTAAGCACAGTGGGACCTGAGGTTCAGAAAGGTGAAATTAAAGAGCTGAGACCTGGCATAGCCAGGATGTGTCACAATTCACAGATCTGTGTTTTTTCTGCTATACCATACTGCTGCTGGCTGGGACTAGTCTGTGTGTAAGGCTGATCTGGGCTCCAGCATCTGCAGTGAAACTGCATGTGAGGATACACATTTTTCATATACGTTATGTATAGGCATACATGTGATGACATACATTTTCATATGCATCATGTATATGCATACATGCTATATATTTGTTCATACACGATACCTTCATTTGAAAAACTACTGGACACAATGCTGAACTGAACATCAGAGTCAAGGAGCTTGGTAAGTTCCCTCTGCACTGTTAGATTTTTGAGTCATACTATACGGGGGTGAAATGTCACATACCACAGCCACATTCTTCTGAGCTCACAAAAGCAACATATGCAACACTAGGTAAAGTCCAAAGCCTTGGCTTCCAGCCCTCATGACCCCCCGGAACATTATTTTTCTCAGCCACCCACCCCACAGTGAACCAAACAACGAGTCAGAGAACAAAAGCGCCCCGGCCTTGAACTTACAGGAGGAATGGATGCTGGGGAAGCTTTTGCGGCCCTCGGACACCAGGTCAGGGTCACCGGTGCAGTGCATCTCTGAGTTCATCACCCCATCTGGAAAGCAGCGGTAAAAGAAATCGGGACGAGGTCTACAAAAGACACCATGGACATTTTCAATATACAATGCTGCCATCACAAGGAGCCCCAAGCTGATCCCTCCTCCCCACAGCCCCCGCCCCTCTGCAAGCCACCTCTGTCATCCACAACAGGAGTTTCCCCAGAGCCCTCTGAATACAGTTGTTGGGGAACATTTCAGGCTTTGGGGGCAGAAACATCTGAATTGGAGCTAGTTTTGCATCCTTGGGGAGGTCTCAGCCTTCCCCAGTTCACATCTGTAAAAGGGAGAAATCAATATCTGACCAAAGGTGAGGTCTTGAGCATTAAGTCTTCCTGGACACCTAAGCATGATATCAGCAGACTAGAAAGGACTTCCTATCTTGATACATTGCTCCACCAACCTAGACCCTGCCCCCAGTTTCTGAGAGTCCAGGACATGACATTCTACATGTCAAGTTTTGGTGGCCAGCTGCCTTTCCTGAAGCAGTGGCCCTCAACCTGGCTGGGAAACCTGACAACTCAGCCACACAGTAGGAGGAGTTTGGTGACCCAGGCTGGTGTCTCTGATCTAAGGCAAGAGTGGGACAGAGATCTCTAGAGGGAAGAAGGGTGACTCTGGCCCTGCAGCCAAGCCTTCCAGAACAAGCACAGCTAACATTAACTTATTCTTTAGTGTAGATGCAGTGCCTGGCACTGCACATTCACCATGCCATACAATGCCTATGAAAATCCTTAAGGCGGGGTCAGGGGTCTAAAGGAGATGACACTCCTGTCATGATCACTCATGATCAGTATGTGGCAAACACAAGCTGGGAGCCCGGAATGGAATCCTGTGCCCAACATTTGGCCCCATATTGGAATGCTCTACTCAAGTAAGAATACTAGTGTGGCTATGTGCCAGCTCACGATTCTGTAGCAAACCACCTAATAGTTCTGTGTGCATAACATGGGTGAGGCTTGCTAATGCTATAAGCACACCTCCCTTGCACACTGGATCACAGTTGTCACATACAGACTCATACACTAAGTCTCCTAGCTCTGGGACCTAGGTAAGATGCCTCTGATCTAACAGGCCTGCTCTTGTGCTGTCTTTTCAGACCCAGCCAGTGTTTCTCCAATGTGGTTGTTCAACCAGAAAGAACCTCAGGGGGTGAGACCCTAGAATCATCAATTTATCTGAGTCCCAAGTGCATGCTAAGCAGGAGGGACATCCCAGCACAGGGTCTTTCATTAGCCCAGATTTACCCATCTTCCACTCCTTGATGCCTGTACCATACCAAGAACCTAAAAATGCTGAGGCTGTAAATGGAATCTCATTTGTTCAAGGCCAGGAGTAGTAGCCAGAGCTGAAGTAAGCTGTAGTATTGAGAGGCCTTCGGGCTTCTCATCTCTGCAGAGACTGACTCTCTACCAGAGCAGCCGCAGGAGAGGGGAAAGCAAATGGAAACTAGAAATCATTTCTCAGGAGCAGTAAGAGAAGTGCGTCATAAAGCCAGGTCTGAAATGCCAACCCATACATCTCATCTCAAAGAAAACAATACATAAGTGGTCTTATTAATTTGTTAAAGGCCAAAACTGACAAGCACATATGCCTGGCCAGGTGCTGGGATAGCAGTGGAAATGCCAATAGCCGGCTTTGGCCAAATAAAGTGTGGTCAGTCAGCAGGGGACACTCTCTTACTAGCGAACTCCTCCCTAAAGTAATGAGTTCATAATTCAAAGGAAAGAAAAGATCTGTACTGAAGGTCAGAAATCCCAGGAGGGCAACAATTTAAGGGAAAATTGTTTAAGGAATCTGTCCTACACAGTGTCCTCTGGCCATAATTCCCATACAGATGAACTTTGTACTATAAAGCATCATTTGTTTCCTCTTGGAACTTACCTTCCCACTATTAATTTAATAGTGTTTGTGCAGACTCCATTCAAAGCAAGAGCCAAGGACACCGCTACAAAACAAAACCAACAAACAGGAAAAAAAAAACAGTTGGATCTCACATTAGAAAATCATCATCATTATAACCACCACCACCACCAGCAGCAGCAGCAGCAGCAGCATTATCATCATCACCATCAACATGCCATCATCACTACCATCACCACCATTATCATCATCTCCGCTATTATCATCCATTACCATTGTAACCATCACCATCATTATGACCATCAGCCATCATTATCATTGTCATCACAACTATCATCATCATCATCACCTAAAAGTACACTTAGTTTAGGACCACAGAGTTGTTAAATAATACTTTAGAAACACAATGAAGCTTTATTTGCTAGGGCAAAATATAATTGGGGCAGGATTACGGAGTTTGTCCCATAAAATGCCACATTCTTATGACATGAAATCTTTCCTTCTTGACCAGAATTTTCAGCCTCACAAACAAACCCATCCATCACTTTCTAGCCTGATATAAACAGATTTAATACAACAGCGTGTAGAATTTCTTTTACTTATAGCAAGACCCATGACTTTTTTTTATTTCTTCCTGGAAATCTCCTCAGGCATAATTCAAATCAGAGCAGCTGCCAGAATCCTTCTGAAGAGTGGGACAGCCTGGTAAGGCCTCTGTCATCTCTCACCCATCACCTGCCAACAGCTGTCCATCACTGTTTCCAAGAGGACTGGGAGTCCAGGAGGTAACTTTTGTCATCAAAACCAGCAAAAACTTCTAGAATACATTATTTTAAAATATACAGCCCAGGGACCTTCTCCAAGCAGCCTGGAAACCTACTAGATAAGGGACAGACCAAACAAAAGGGGCAGCAACATGAATCAACACCCTTTCCTATAAAAACCTTGACCTTCCCTCCTACAGTTTGATAAGAGGACTTAAGAGGCACAGTCATCACTGTCACTGTGATGAAGGTCAAATAAATGTCTTACATAAGCAACGGAAACTCAGAGAGGCCCTCTCTTTGTTGAGTAATAAAACACATGAGGTACTATTTCTCTTTAGTAGACACTTGTGTAAGATGAGCACAGTGGAGGGGCATTTTCGGAAAGGACCTTTCTCCAGTGACTCATTATTATCAAGGGAAATAGGTGAGTTACTCTACAAGCAGAGAGTTCTGTGGCATAGCCACCACAGCCACCAGGGCACACATTACTGAGATGAAGGCAAAGCCACCTGCTTTTAGCAGGTTGTAGGGAACAGAAAGAATGGGGAAGCTTGGGATGAAAAGAAAAAGTAAACACCTGAGTGGTGATGGAACAATCCTGGCCATGTATGAACGGAGTGGGAAAAGATACAGGTCCCTGTTGGAGAGCTGAACTTAAGCCAGCACCACAGTACTGCCTTCACAATGTCAAATTGGCAACCCGGGATATAAACTGGCTCTGAGTGTGGAGATCACGGGAAGGTCCAGTGACTACAGTCTTTATGTGCAGATCTTTCCTGCCAGAAATGCCAGCCTCCTTCTCCTCCACAAGGGCAGAGCGGAGGTGAGAGGCCTCTTTTGCAGAAGAGAGAAAATCCCCTAGGCTGTCTTGGCTGAATTCTCCCAAAGAGTACTGACAACAAACTGTGAGAGATGGCATAGAATAGATAGTGGTGGGCTTTTTCCCTGTTAGGGCTGGCCCTGCTATGCTTTCTAGGGGAGTTGTACTCCTTCCTCTCCTGGGAGCCTGGCCTCAGTGCAGACAAGCCATCTGTGAGCGGCCATCACTGGCTGATCTCTCATTGTCCCACATACATCTTAGTAAACTTCATATACAACTCCATTGATCCAGAGCCCAATCCATACACACTCGGGGCTGAGTGGGCTTGTAGACAGTGCTGTCTTTCCATAGGTTTGAAGTAAGTAAGCTAGAAAATACCAGCAAATGCACTGTATGGTCCAAATGCCTGAAAGAGACAGAGAAGGATGGGAAGCTAGAGTGATGGCATTTGGGAGTGGGAATTGCTTTAGTATTCTGGAAGCACATGAGACTGACTAATTTTTATCTGAATGATAGTTTGACAGGGTACTGAGGAGAGGGCATCAAAATGACAGGGTACTGATGCAGGGACCTTTCATGAGGTATCTATTCCAATGTTCCTCATTCTGTAGAATGAAGGCGAGGCTCTGATGGGATGCTTGGTGGCTGCAAAGACAGGAGAATGCACTGCCCCAGGCAAGAGTACTTGCTGACTAACAAGAGCCCCACAGGTCTAACCCATGTGGTGTTTTCACAGCATCTGACAGTACCATTTTGACTGATTGATCAGAAACACAAACAAGACTGACTGATAAAGAAATTCAAAGTGGCATGTCCTACAGGTTGGCTTGCTAGGGGCTGGTTTTGAGGGTATTATGGGCTATGGGCATGCCAGAGGATTTGAGAGTTTTCCTGTCATTTTTTGTAGTTTCAAGCAGCCCAGTATTCCTGTCTTTCCATAACAGAGTTCCTGGCTATTCTATAACCAGAATACCTACAAGCTAGAAGCTGCACAGGGAACACACTGCCATTCTTGTCTGTAGGGGAACACTTGGGGCTCAGGTGTAAATGCCTGGGTTAAAATCTTCCAAATACCCTCACTACAGAGTGGCATGACAACTAACCTCCCCTCCATGAGAGTTCTGAATTCCAGGCTTGATTAGAAACCATCTAGTTTTCTGACTTTGAAGTTTAAGGTCGCCCTTACTGCCTCCAAACCTTCCTGAAGTGTGGGTTGTTTGCAACCTCTGTGCACACTGCTGGCTTTTCATCATTTTCTGGACAGGAACTCATTGATTTAGGCAAACAGAACAGCCAATAATTCCTTTTTAGTTACCATATAGGAGGCAGAGTATGGTGCTCAATTTTAAAGCATCACCCTAAGGGAGACTTAGCTGGGAATGAAAATGTCTAGATGAGGTGGCCAGGGCTGCTTAGAGATGCCACAGGAACACAATCCCATAGCCAGCAGTAAACTATAGCCACAACAGCCTTTCTTTCCCACAGTCATTTATCTTGGGACTCTATGTGAGGGAGCAACTACAAAATAAAGTGAGGTGAAGGGATTCCCAAACCAATAGACAGAGTGTCCAACAGGATGCTCTGAGGGCCGCAGTAATAGCCATCCCAATACTGCCTGTCTCTAAAGCCAGGTATGGCAAGGTACCAATGCCCCTACCTCCATGAAAACACTTAAAACTTTTCGTCATCACAGCCAAAGAGACCTAGGCCACGTGACCAAACTCCCAGTCTACAGGTTAGCAGCCTGGAGCACACGCCTGACCTGAGAGAGCAAGCATGTAACCACAGGCTGGCCAGAGTCAAGACTGTTTTGCTTTCAGTCTGGAGAAACAATTGAGTCAAAGTCTCCATCAAGGAGACTGGGAGCAAGAAACAGAGTGAAAATAGGGGGTGGTCACTAGAGTTGAGCAGTCAGATGTGTAAATAGAAGGTAGCATCACTGCGAGCCACTGTGAGCCCATGCACCTGAACCTATACACCACTGTGAGCCCATGCACCACTGTGAGCCCATGCACCGCTGTGAGCCCATATACCATAGGAAGCAAAGGTCTGGGGCAGAAGAAACCACACCCAGGCTGGAGAGGACAGGAAGTGGAGGGACATGAGGGAAGGCATATTTCAGACAGAGTTGGTCATGAGCTCTTGACATTCCAGCTGACTTCCCACTGCAGCCCCATGGAGCATTTCTCTGCTATCCCCTCCTTTTCTTGGAGTTGATAAGACTGCTTATTTTAGCTCTGTCTTTAAACCCATTATTTACTTGAGCTAATCTGAAAGGGAAACGTAACATTATTCTTTTCAACTAGACAGACTTAACTAAAGCTTGGTTACATAAAAATGGCCTCTATTCTTCATCCTTTAGATACACACTCTGCCTCATTCATACTCCCTCCCTAAGAAAAGAGTGGAGTGTCATGCTACGGTGTTCAAGTCTATAAGCCCAGTAATTAACAAACACATCCCATAGTGAGGAACCTCAGTTTCCAGACTTACCACCCCAGAGGATGGGAAGTCCACACAATATACTACACCCAAGCTTGGAGATGAAGGTCTAGATAACTTATTTAAACTATATATGTACCCAATTTAGTTTTCCAGAGGACTAATGAAAAAGCTAGAGATTTAGACACAGGTTAAATTACCTTGATTGCTAAAATAGCTCAGTAGAATTGTCTCATTGACTGACTCTCTCTCTCTCTCTCTCTCTCTCTCTCTCTCTCTCTCTGTGTGTGTGTGTGTGTGTGTGAGAGAGAGAGAGAGAGAGAGAGAGAGAGAGAGAGAGACCCATGCACATGCAGGCAGCTACACTGGGCACCTTCTGAGAATCCCTACCCGTGAGTACCCTTTACTTCACACTGACTCAACACCTTTTAAGCTTATCTTGTCTTATTTTTCCAGAGTTTAATTTTGACCAAAGGAAAGAAAAATCAGTTGGGTGTAAATGAGATTTCTTTTTCAAATGTGATTATCTAATTAAGATCATTCCCAGCCCCTAAAGCAAGAACTGTGAATACTCTACCTAAGAAGGCTTCCTTAATTTCAGTCTTGTCTGTCCGCCGGATAATTTTCACCACACAAATAACAGCCAAGGGTGTGAGGAAAGAAATTGCCTGGAAGAAACAACAAATAATCCCTCGTGAGGACTCTGATTTGCTTCAGATGTGGCAATTCATGATTAGTCCCAGTCAACTTCAACTCGATAGTCAAACAACCTTACTGAATTGACCTTAAACAAAGAAGGGCAACTTGTCTATATGGAGCAAAAACACAGGCTCAGGAAACTGGAGGTCTGATTGCAGGTTCTAATTGATTTGTAATTGCTAGGAGCCACATTTAAAGTGGGAGCTTTTTAAAGAGTAAAGAATAGTGTATAATTAGGATAGTTCATCAGCACCAGTAAACCCTGGACCTCCCCCCACCCCGTGTATGTGTGGGGAGGGGGGCATGACTGCAAGCTGTTGCTCCACCTCCCTAGAGACATGAGAGGATAGGCCTTCTTAATGAGAGTCAATCAACTCCTTCCCCTTTTGAGTTCTTCTATTGAATATCCCTTTCTTTTTTTCCTTTTAGGTTAGAAGTGAGTCCTTTCATACAGATTCTTCCTCCAACTTCACAAGATATAGAGTCACCTAGAAGTCAAACTTCTGGGTTTATAAGGCAGTTTCTAGATCATATTAATTTGTGTAGGAAGATATAATCTAAGTGTGAGCAGTACTATTCCGTGAGTAGGGTCCCAGACAGAACGACAAAGAGAAAGAGGCTGAATACCAGCACTCATTTCTCTCTCCCTCTCTGCTTCCTAACACAGATGCAACATGACCAACCACTTCTGGATTCTACTGACATGATTTCCCCACAATCATGGACTGTATCCCCCTCAGACTGTAAGCCCTAATAAATCTGTTCTTCCTTAAGTTGCCTCTTGCCAGGTATTTGGTTATAGCAACAAGGAAAGTAACTAAGGTTCCATCTACCCAAATCCACACTGGAATGAATCTGGTGGGTCTACATGTAACCAGGCTCATCATAAAGCATATGAGGCAATTCCTGTATTTGGATTATTGAAGGCTCATGGTGGCTCTGAGACAACTTCCTGTGTTCAGTGACAGGCCTGGGGACAGATAGCTTATAAGTTACAAGCATGGTCTCTGCCTCCCATATGGAGTTTCTTTAACTACTGTGGCCACAAGGAGGAAAGGTGTCTACTTAAATCTTCATATGTAACAGTGTCTGGATGGATGGAATACGGCATCAATCCGTAAGTGATGGGAAGGGGGTGGTAACTATGGACCCTTTATGTTCCCACTTAGGAATTCTTCAATGTGTTCAGATGAGATGTCACTTTTCACAGAGGGGCTTCTTGATAGGACAAAGTCATAAATGGAATTCATGCAAATGACCACAACCTTTCAGAACAGGCTTTTTCCATTTCAATCAATTACTTTGGGGACTCATCTTTGGTTTCTGCCTCCAGAGACAGCTAATGAGACACCAGAAATCCTTCCTTCTTATTTGTCATTATGTCTTTGTGACCATGAGAGGTATTAACTGGTTAGGGGTTGTCTCCTCATTAGTTATGGCTTTGGATGACATGGGCTTTGAAACCAACTGATGACGCCCGGAAGCCAACTGCTCATATCTGAAAAACCTCAGGGCTTGCTGACATGCTGACATACTTGTATGACAAGTGTAGGGACCAAGGATCACATTTTTAAAACAAGTATCCCAAATGATCCTGACGGTGCTGATTGAGAAACACATCTTTACATTCAGATCCTGAAAACCAATGTCGAGAGTATCACCTCCTAAGAGCCAAGACCACAGTCAAGGCTCAAGAATCCTTTCTGACTTCAAATGCAAATGTCAAGCTCAGCAGCCTAATTATTTCCCATCCCTTAAAACCCTGGGTATAGTTCATGCCACATGTTCCCAAAGAGAACAACTCACCAAATACTGAGCTGTAAGGACAACACCAAAAGTCAAGCCTTAATAGAATAACAGAGCAGAATAAAAGTGTTAAGAGACAACCCTAGCCAACATACTCCCATATGTGTAGGCAGAAATAAAACTCCAAATAAAATATGAGGCCCCAGAGACTGGTAAATGGGATTTTAGAGTAGGACATTTTGGCCCAAATAAGGGATAGTGTATCAGGTAACAAATATGCAGGCTCACAGCCAGGAGTGATAGATAAGGAGTCACTAGGGCCTGATGACAAAGGACTTTCTTTAAACATCATTCCCTGTCACAGATCTCTTGTTTTTAATTAGGTCTCCCTCCCCTCTGCCTCTGCCAAGACAAAACTTCATTATATCCACTTTGTAACTTTCCCAAGTAGGTGCTATTTGGGATCATTTTTATGACCACCAATCACCTGCTTACTGAGCCAGTACTAAGCACGGGGTTGGGGGCAGGGACAATTCACTTTTCCCACTTCAAGAGCTCAAGAAAAGGGCTCTAACCTGACAGAGTGCCAAGTTCTATCTCCTAACAGAAGTATCTGTGAGTAACTGTAGGGTGTGATCTCTCCTATGTCCTAGCAACACTGGGGGCACCAGTCTCATGCCCTTGTCCTGTCCATGTATGGTGGTTTGGATAAATGCCCTGCATCAGCAGTTCTCAACTTGTGGGTCCATATTTTTGATGGTCTTAAGAACTGAGACACCTTTTTTCTTTCCATGGTGCTAGGGATTGAACCCAGGGCCTTGCATATCCGAGGCAAGCACTACCCACTGAACAACACTCCAGCCTCCCCCAGTTTTGTTTTTGAGACAGGATCTCAACATATAGTCCAGGCTGGTCTTGAACTTACAAAGGTTCACCTGGCTCTGCCTTCTGAATGCTAGGATTAATTAACTGCCTTCTAAATGCTAGGATTAATTAAAGGCATGAGCTGCTGTACCTAAGTCTTTAAAGGTTTCTTAGAGATTTTCATCTCTCTGGGTGATTGCAGACAAGTATGTGCTCATATCTACAAACTGAAATCAGACCCTCAACTGGAGTTTGCTAGAAGTTTCTGAGGCAGGTAATCCAAAATAGCTGTTTATCTGTAACTACACTAAAGCTGGTGAAATAAAGTAAACTTTCTTCTAGCTGTGAAGGTTGGGAGCATAGTAAGCATTGGGGTGGCAGTAACGAAACTTTCTTCCAGCTGTGAAGGTTGGGAGCATAGTAAGCATTGGGGTGGTGGCAGTAACAGAGCAACACTAATGGAAGGAAGGTTTTGTGCAGTGCAGTGCAGACATGCAGGTGTGAGGACTCGAGAATCTGACCCAGATAAATTTGAGTAGTACTGTGGCTTCAGTTAAAATTTGAAGGGAAAGAACTCTCACAAATGAAAGATGACAGCCTGAGCACCCACAGCATGGGGAAGGTGAGTTAATCAGGGATTAAGTTACAGGGCTTCTTCTACCTTGGCTCTGGGCATGAGCTTCATTGGTCTTCAGTGATAGGCTTGTTTTCTTTACACTCCACGCAGGTAGTAGAGGCTTAAGCTGTAAAGCACTCCTAGGAAGCACATGAGGATTATAAGGGTACTGCTTTGGCTTTTGCTGTCTCAATATTGTGTGTTTTAAAACAATTAGAAACTTTTTAATGATTTTTAACTTTTAAGCATTTTTGTCACTCTTCGAGCTCTTGAAGACTGAACTGCAGTATATTACAGAGATTGCTTTGTCTCCTATAAAGTCAAGCTTGACAAAAAAATTCATAATTTGTAACCCACCTTGTCTGAACTTTTATGCTGGTATGTAATTAATAGATTCTAACTAGTGTGGTGATATTTTTACAGGCAAACCTGATTAAAGAACTCTGAAAAGCTTTAAAGTGGCCTTTCTGTTACATGTGTGGCACAGGTGGCTGATGAGTATGGGACACTTGTGTCCTGTGCTTCTTATCCAATGCTATCAGACACACGAGTTTTGCATTTAACACACTTGAGTGCTGTGAACCTTCAGGACTGCACCAGTCCAACACAGCCTTTGCATGGTGGCAAGTTATCTTGTTTCATTTGTGGTTAAAGACAGATGTTTGTGCCTATCAACATCCATCTTGTGGTTGGCCATATAATCACTTGCTACATATTGTGACCCCATGCAATAAAGCAGAATTATACATATATATGTATGTATATATAGTTACCTTTGGGTCCCCGAAGTCCCTAAGATCAATTACAATGTAGATAAGGCCACAAACTTGTAAGGAGCAGAGTGCTGGCTTTGAGTGAGTGGCTGCCATCGGATGAACTCTGGTTGGAAGGAGGTCAGTGCAGTATGTGGTCACAGATGAGGCCACAGACTATTGGCAGTAAGGCACTTGGTTTCTTTATGTTCAATGTATTTTTCTCATGTACAGATAAATACACATCAAAAACTTAAAGGAAAAAGTGGCAAAAATACAGTTACGAAGCAACAATTAAAATAAATATATGGTTGGGGGTTCCTAAGACAGTCAGAAATCTGTGATTTCCAACTGTGGTGACCCATAGGTTGAGAAGCACTGTGCTATGTAATCTCATGCATTTGAATTCTTGTCTCCGGTTGATAGCGACATCTGGGAAGACTTTGGCAGTGTGCTGGAAGAGGGATGTCCTGGAGGCCTTGTGGTTTGGAAAGCCACACACCATTCCTTTCCTGCTTGTGGTCTAAGATGTAAGCTCTTAGGGAGCAGAGAGCCCAACACAGAGCAAAGATACATCTATATTTACCATTGCCTCTATATCCCCAAATGAATGTAACATGTATTCAGAGTACACCCACAGAGGATGAGGATCTCGTATGGGATTGACGTGTGCCCCACACAACCCCACCTGACCTGAGCAGAGAATGCCGGGCAAAGGAAGAAAGCTGAAAACATAAAAGAACAGATGTTCCCAGGCATCTTGCCCAAGCAGTATATGATCACTGTTTCCAAGTGGATTCCCACCTTATATACCCACCAGTGAATCTTACATAGGAAATGTCCTCAGTGTCCAGATGCTACTCTTCAGCACTGCTGCAGAGCACTAGACTGTCCCAGATGTGGCTAGGAAAGGCCAGGCTTGGAGCAGCCTATGGGGGGGGGGGTAGGATGTTTAACAACAAAGGATTCCAGTCCAAAACATTCCAATATCAAGATTCTAGCCAATGAGGAGGCCACCAAGGCTCACTCATGTCACAACAGGGTCAAAATGCCTACAGTGGGTGGAGAAGCATTTTTAAAGACAACTAGAACACACACAGACACCCAGAAAAGGCTCCATTTTGGGTAAACAGTAGCAATCTGTCACCAAGGAAAGGGCCATCAAAGACTTAAAAAGAGACTACAAATTAAACTGTCTATCACCCACAAAGTGTGTCTCTCTCCTTCCGTCCTCTCCCCAAACAGACTAGTTCCTATCTTCCTTAAAGGCATCCCAGAATAGGAAACCATCCTAGCACATCATCACAGTGACAGGAAGATTCTGGGGGATGAAATCAGGTGAGCTCTGGCCACAATCAGAAGAGACAAAGAAAATGAGTTGGATGTTTCCTTGAAAGGCAAGGGAAAAAAAATCTGTGGAACTCTCTTCTCAGTCTCCCATTGAGTCTAAGCTGTTTTTCAAAGGGTTTTCCAGCAATGCTGAACTGCCCAGTTGACATCTGTGTCTGAACCTCCACTAAAATAGAAGCCACATGGTACTCAATCCTGCATCCCTACTGCCCAGCCCTGGACTTGGCTCACAGCAGATGCTTTATCACTGCTTGGGTATGAGGAAAAATAATAATAATCATTAATCTGGAGACACCCACCATCTGGCTCCATCCCTGCCTCCTCTGCCCCCTGATAAATGCTGACTCAGTTCACCCAACAGACACCCCCAATAAACTCCGACTCAGTGGGCCTACATGGCTCTGACCTCCCACGCTGGAACCTTTATGTCTGAATTATCTGTGTGTCACATGCTGGCATCACCTCTCCACCTCACCCAAGTCCAAAAGGTGGCATCAGAGCATCAGGGCTTCTCGGTGTTCTGAGAGGGGCTGGTCTAGCTTCTAACAGTTGTAAGACATCGGTGGAGTTGTTTGGTTTTTCATCCTGAAATTATTGAGCTGATGAAAAATGGTGCCATCAGAGAGTCTGATTAACTGAGATGCCGCTCATTATGTGATGAGACATCGGTGGAGTTGTTTGGTTTTTCATCCTGAAATTATTGAGCTGATGAAAAATGGTGCCATCAGAGAGTCTGATTAACTGAGATGCCGCTCATTATTTATTTATCACAAGCACTGTTCTCAAAAACCATGGCCACTGTGGTAGCCCATGATGGTGGCAGTGATGGGAATGGTGACAGATGACAGTGATTAAAGTGATGATAGTGACGAGGATGGTGGTAACAAGATGGTGGTGAAGATGGTGATGAAGAAGGTGATGAAGCTCCATAGAAGCTTACCTGAATCTCCCCTCTGACCTTTCCAGATCCTATTTGATATCAGAGTAAATATGCAAGGTTCCTGGGGGACCTGGAACTAGCTCTTGTAGACCAGGCTGGTCTCACAGAGATCCTCCTGCCTCTGCCTCTGCCTCTGCCTCTGCCTCCCAAGGGCTGGGATTAGAGATGTGTGCCTGACCTGACTCCCTGTTCTCCACAGCCCTTATGGTTTCTCCTACCTACAACATGTTCTTTGGAAGTGTGCCCTGAATGCACAACATGGCATCAACATGTATACTAAGTAACATTCATGACCAACTGATATTCCCAACACCAATATCAGTGTTTGATCATGCTCTGATAGACCCCACACACTCAGCAAGCAATCGTGACCTCTTGAATAATAAGCACAGTCTCTGGCAAGGGACTGACTGCTTGGGGATGACAGAGAACTGTTAAGTCAAGACTCAAATGTTTCTGAAAAGAATCCTTGGTCTGTCTCTCTGGTCAACAGGGAGACAGAATCATCATGGAAAAACAAGCTCTTGGCAGCTGGGTGGTGATGGTGCAAGCCTTTAATCCCAGCACTTGGGAGGCAGAGGCAGGCAGATCTCTGTCAGTTCGAGACCAGTCTGATCTACAAGAGACAGTTCCAGGACAGCCTCCAAAGCCACAGAGAAACCCTGTCTTGAAAAACCAAAACAAACAAAAACAAGCTCTTGGCATTAAACAGTCTCACTATACGCAGACCCATTACCTGCACTGTAGGAGCCACAGGCAGATAAAATGGGAGCTGGGACTTTTCTGAGGAGGTCAATATGGTTTATTCTCCCTTTGACTGCACTTGACTCAATCACCAAACCTTTACTATATTATTTTTCTGGTTGCATTTGACCAAGGGGTTTTGAAACACACACAAACACACATGCACACTCATGACTTGGGGGCCACTAATTACTCGAACAACATTTTAGTTAGAAAGTTCACCATTGGATGGAAACATTTCAACCTACATAAAAGATTGCAGGTTTTATAAATGAAAGAATGGAATTTAGGCCAGTGAGGTGGATAAGCCAGTAGAGGTACTTTCTGCCAAACTTCTACCACCAGTGTTTCATCACTGGAATCTACAAAGAATAAGGGGAGGTCCAACTCTCACAAGCTGTTTTCTGACTGTGACAGGCACACCATGGCATGTATACATGCACACACATATGTACATGCACACAGAATAGATGAATGAGCCTCCAAGAGAAACTGACCTAGATTAAATATCTGGGAGACCATATGGGCCACTCAACTTTCTTCTGCAGACACTGGGAAAGCTTTTGAGGGCCCAAAGCTGACAAACAATAGCTCACATTAAGTTCTTAATAAAATCTAGGTGAACAAATATAATTATGGAATGACAAAGTATTTTCTACCTTCCAGCTGCAGATATTTTAAATGGCGTGCCTGCTCTCCTGTTGTTCTTGTGAACTGCACTGACTCTTGTAGCCAAACACATGTGCTTCATCAACCACTATTAACAAAGTAAAAGACTGAACTTGTTTCATTACAAGGCTAGAGAGTGTCAGTGAGCGGAGGCAAATACATGTCTATTCTCCAAAACTCACAGCATTGAAGGGCCTTTCTGCATCTCACCCAAACCACTGGCACTAAACAAATTGTTTTATTCCCCTTATGTCTGCAGCCAGAATATTTGTGGCATCTGCATCTAGTCCTCAAAACAATCCATTGTTCATAAATCTCAGCTAGAGTCGCAAATTTCTCTCAATGTCCCGTATGAACATTCATCTCCAAATTGCATTTTATAGCACATGAAATGCAAAACCCTGGGAAGAATGGGTCTGAGTGATAAACAGATGTTTTCCCCTAATTGTGCTGTGAAGTCATTAGCCACACACTGGTTCCTTCATATCTACGATTTATTGAGTTAGGATGGAATTGGAAAAGATCTTATTGTAATATGTATTTGTTATGACTTCCTGCCAACCGACTTTAATAGTTCACTTTGCCTAAGATTTACAGAAATCTATTTTATTTTCCAAGCTGAAAAGTAATTATTAAAAGCAACTGTAATAACACCTGAATGTTCACACAGTATAGAAGGCATTTCCATTTGCAGATATTTAAATCTTTCTAACTATAGTTACTTAAAAAGCTTTCCTCTGTAAAATAAAGGGATTTCTTTCAAATAGTCCCATGTGGACTGTGAATGTTCTCGAATAGTAACCACAGTCCCCTAGAAGCACAGGCAGAATGGTAGGTCAACCGGAATCACCTTCAAGCCACTAGACAGCCCGTCTGAAAGTTTTGTTATTGTTTCCAGTGGAGGGAGCACGTCACTGCTTCCTTTGCTACTGAACAGCTCACTGGCAATGTTCCAGGAGCAACTGAGCATCAATCAGATGCTCTGGACCATCCAAGGCAGTCTCAAGGTGGACACTGATCTCCAGAGTTGATTGCTCGGATCAGACACTGTCACTCACCAGCTGTGTGGCGTCAGGAAAGTTCCCTCATCTCTCTGGAAGTCACTTCTGACCCTGCAGGGTGTGGCTAGTAATGAGCCATCTTCTCTGACATAGGCTGGGACTATATGAGGTAGCCTTTCCATAGGCACTGGCACACAGGGAGGGAAAGGTCAAAGACTGTAACTGCCATGAGGTAAGAGGAGGAGGTAAAAATAATCCCACTATATCCACCAGCTGTTTGGGTGTTTGCTTATTCATTCTAAGAGCAAGATATAAGACAACATCTAGTGGTTAGGATATGGGGTGGGCTTTTTTTAATGTGTCTGGGTGTGTGGCATACACATGCATATTTCTGTTGGTATGTACGTGTGTGGGCATACACACACGTGCGTATAGCGTAGAGGTCTCTAGTTTACGATGGATGTCTTTCTTATACTCAAATGGTATTCCACCTTATATACTGAGGCAGGTTGTCATACTTGAACCTGGAGCATACTGATTTGCCTAGACTAGCTTGCATGCTTGCCGAGGATTGTTTGTTTCTGCCTTCCATGTGCTGGGATTACAGGCTGGTCACCACACCCACTCAGCATTTCCATGGGTTCAGGGTATCCGATCTCTGGTCCGCACATGTGGCAAATACTTTACCCAATGAACCATACTCCCCAGGCCACCACAGGGTCACCTTATCAGTGGTCAACAACTGTCCAGCCCAAACTAGACACATGGTTTAGCAAAGCTCTCTACATTGATTTCCAGGCTTATTCTGCAAGGAGAAGGGATAGGGAATTCTTGTCACTAGCTTCCAGTCTGCTTTACTACACTGTCACTATGTAGAAACATTCAACATAACTCAGGTAAGCAAGTCTCCTCTTCTTCCAAAGTGTTAGACAATCACAGTTTCTCAAGTGAGCAACCAGTGCCTGTCTTGATCTGAAAGTGAGGCTTAACTGGACACGTCGCTTTGCTTTTTATTTAAAGTTGACTATTGTCCTCAACAGGGGTTGGAACAGTGAGGATCAAAGCATAGTCAGGATAGTGGACATATCAGCCACCAAACCACAGTACTTACAAACATCAGGCGCGTAGGTATGTTGTCTGACTGCACCAATGGATTTTTATAGAGCCAGATCTCTTCCGGCTGGATGACTCTCTGGAATGGATCCAAAAACTCTGTAAAACTGAAACAAAACAAAGAAAAGGACATGAAAGCTGAGCCTTCAGCTGCTGTGAACAGACCCTGCAAGACCACTTCTGCATGACCTTAGGAGAATCTTCCAGACATCTGGGAAGGGGAGAAATGGCCCCCAGTGATGGTCCTCAGCCAGTTCCAACTGGACAAAGACAAAGAGACACTGAGACTGTAGAGTCCTCTGTCACCCCCTGCCAGCAAGGACTCATTCTTGCTAAGGGAACAGCTTTGGAACTGTTTTTACAAAGACTCTAAGAACTCAGGCTCCTAACGTGAGCTGAAAGCTCAAGTGCCATACAACAGCTCATGCAGGGTCAAGGCCAGGCCAGCAGCACAGCAGCTCAGGACAAAATGGGTCTGAGACTCATCAGGCTCCCTTGACCTACCCAGGGAACAGGAAGTGTCCTGCCCTCCCTCCTGCTGCCCAGTTGAAGACATGATGCTGCCACTCCCTCCACTAGGGGGCAGAAGAAGGATGAAGAGATGTGGTGATGGGATGTTTTGGGTAGGCTAATAGGCTAGCTCTAGGCATCTTTCATCTTCAAATTTCACCCTCTGAGAACTTGCCTCTGTGATGGGAACCCACCGTATATTGCCAATATGGGTTATGTCTTCATTAAGTTGAACAACCAAAAGCAATCACGAAAGGGGAAATGGTTGGGGTGTGGGAGACAGGCAATATGAATTTACCAGTATGAATTTTCAGATTTCAGCCATTAACCTCTGTCCAGCCTCTCAAGCCCCATCTCCACCTAAACTTCATTCGGAATGATTTGGGGTATGAATGGCTGGGAGCCAGAGCATCAGGAGACTGCAGTCCTCCACTGTTAGGCTGAGAAATTTTGATCCTGAGCCAATAGGATGGGAAGTGTCGCTCAAAGTGATGCCCCTGGCAATGAGATGCATGGGACTTGGAGAAGAGCAGAGGAATGAAGGCAAGAGAGTGGTCGGGGTATACAATTGCCCCAGTAAGAGGTGCCTGCAAAGTGGTTGGGAGGGCATGCAGGTGGTCAGGAGGGAGTGGTTCAAGTCCAGTCCAAGATTCTAGTTTGGGGTACTATGGACCAAGATGAAGAGCTTGGGGTGGCAGCTAGAAGAAGAGGAGGACAACTTTGTGCTCCTCCAGAGATTTTTATGGTAGCTAGTAGCCTTGGTCTACTAGCCATCCCAGTTTTAGTCCTGAATTCAGGAACTCCCTCTGTTAAAGGCAAAAACAAAACAAAATAAAACAAAAACAAAAACAAACAAACAACAAAAAAAAACCCATCATCAAAGGGCCAGATCCTAGCCAAATTGGGTACCTCACAACTCAATTTGTACCCCAAACTTGGGTGTCATATGATTATGGTCTGTCTGCGTTTTTCATGCACATTTTCAGCAGTGACCACACAAGGACTGTGAGCTGAGACCCTTCTAGGGTAGCTGGCCCACTAGGTGGCTCCGATACTGCCATAGTTGACATCCACTCTGAACAGCTTCACTGTATACCATCAGATGGACCAGCCTCACAGTCCACTCTATGGTGAATTTAAGAGAAGTGATTCCTCCCTGTCTGTTTCTACATGCCTTCCTGCTCTTCCTTCTACTCTGAGTCACCTCTAACTGTGGGTGGGGTTTTAATCTCTAAGAATCTGTGTACTTAGGAATTCCAAGAAAAAAGAGGAGCCTTTGACAGTTCTGCTCAGCCCTGGGTCCACGGCACCTCTACCTGGAATGGAAGAGTCACCTGGGAAACACTTGTCAGTGCAGTAGTACTGTCATAGAGACCAGCCAAGTCCTCAGCAGCCTGAGTCCAGAGTGTGCCTATTGCAGAATGAGGTCCCATGTGTGCTAAGAACCTGCAAAACAGCTCTGGGCCCCATGTACTTTTCTCAAAGAAAGGCATGCCAAGCACTTCCCTGGGCATCAGAAAATGGCTCCCTGTCACAGCTCCCACCCCCACCCCAACCCCCTTGAAGCTGCTCTGTTACTGAGTAAAGACTATCCCTTGTGGAGTTTCAGTGTGTTCACCTGACTGGGGAAGCGATCAGAAGCCACAGCTGGAGATGGGTGAGAATCTTCTAGAGACTTGCTGGTCAGATGTACAAATTAGGAACAGGACCTGGGGATGTGGATTTTAAACTATTCTGCCGGTGCCATGCTCCAACTCTGACCCCAGTGATTGCTTAAGGGTCCTGTATTCTTGACTCCAATTTGATGATTTAATTCTCATCATTGACAATCCCGGTGTTTCAATCCAACCCTGGTCATGTGGTACATGGAAAACCTTTTCCTTAAAACCCCTAATCTGTAGTTTCCTTGTCTGTGAATTGACCCCATTTTACAGAGCTGGAATGGAAATTAAACTGAAAGAATATACATGGAAACTTGGTTGAAACTCAGTTGGTAGATGCTCGCCTGGCATGCACAAGGCCCCAGGCTCTATTCCCAGCACCGTATCAACTGAGTATGATGCTGCACACCTATAATCCCAGCTCTTGGAAAGTGAAGGCAGAAGGATGAGTTCAAGCATATGGAAGGCTAGCCTGGACTATATGAGAAAGGAAAAGAAAAAGACAAAGGAACGGAAAGGGGGAAATAGAGGGAAGGGGAGAGAAAACCAAAAAGATGAGAGGAGAAGGAAAGGGGGGCTTGAAATACACAGAATATCCAGAAAAACATGGGAATAGCTATTTTTTCCATTTACAGCCGTACTCCAGTCTCTAGTGTGTGTTTCCACCAATTTTTAGTATTTTCTTTGACTGTATAGCAGCCTACTCCCTGCTCCCAAGTGTTTTAGAAGTATTTTAAACAAAATGAAAGGCAACAAAGTTTATTTCAAAGATGTTTTTAGGCCATACAGGCTGCTTGTGATAACTAAAACTTCAAGAATATTCTGATTATTACGAGTCCACAATAAATCATCCAAAAATATTTGATTTCATCTGTGAGTTTCTGGTTTGGAAAATTCTGGTGGTCCAGATGAAGAGTTCTTACTTAGATGCTCTCTTCCAATATCTTAGAACACTGGCTGACACTGTGTCTAGCTGAGGGCTGCATTCGGCTACCCGTCAAGATGGCTACCCACTGATGACAGCCTGGCTATGGCTGAACTGGAGTATCAATACATTCCCAAAAGTCCTGGGGTACTGAGAATTTCATCCAGCATCCAGAAAAAAGTAGGCAAAAGCTAGCTGATGTCTCCTGATCCAGCCCTGAGAGTCAGTCATATAAGAATATTTTCATAGTTTAGATGTTGATGACCCCCAAGAGCTCGGGTGTCTGAATTCTTGGTTCCTAGGAGGTGCTACTGTTTTGAAAGGATGTGGGACCTTTAAGAGATAGAACCTAGCTGGGGAAATGGGTCACTGAGGACAAGATTGGCATCTATCTATCTATCTATCTATCATCTATCTATCATCTGTTTTAAGGATTTATTAATTTTTATTTTATGCGTATTGGTGTGTCGCCTGCATGTATGTCTGTGTGAGGGTGTTGGACTCCTTGGAACTGGAGTTATAAACAGTTATGAGCTACCATGTGGACACTGGGAATTGAATCCAGGTTCTCTGGGAGAGCAGTCAATACTAATAACCACTGAGCCATCTCTCCAGTCTCAAGATTTGACATTTGTAGGCCCACCCTGTTTCCTGTCCCCAGTTTCCTAATCTGTCCAAATGTAAGTGAGCAGCCTTAGGCACCTGCCACCACATTGAAGAGCTACTTCTGTCTTCCCTGCCATGATGGACTGTGCCCCTAAACCATGAGCCAGAAAGGACCCTTCATCCCTTAAGAGTTTGCTGTTGCTTATCAAGTATTTGATCACAGCAATGAGAAAATGAATGGATGCTGTCCATGTGGCCACAGGTATGGACAAGTCTTAAAGTTATCATCAAGGAAGAGAAGCAGATGCCTCCTCTTGACAGGTATAGAAAGTCCTGACTACAGAAAAGCAGGTGGATGCAGAATATGGCTTCAGCCACCACTGAAGCACCATCTGCCACCCACAGGGTGTTACTAACAGTAATGGTTCCACAGCCCACTGCCAGAGACCCCAGAACCTTGACTCCCATTTCTTCTCCACAAAGCAGGCCACAGGGCCAGAAGATTTAGACACATCATCTAGCAATTTCCTTTCCACTGTCCATGTCCTGGGTACCTCTGTCTGCCTCTCTGTCTGTCTTGTTACGAGCACTCTCTCCTACCAGCCTGGCCCCACAACTGCATCTGCCCCAAATGAACACTCAGAGACTAATGTTAATTATAATACTGTTGGCCAATGAGCAGGGCTTCTTATTGGCTAGCTCTGTTTTAATTACTAACCCATTTCTATTAATCTAAGTATTTCCATGTGGTCTTATCTTACCAGAGAAAGAAAGATCAGGGGACTTGTTACTCCTCTGGCATCCTACATGCCGATTGCTCTCTGCCTACATCTCCTAGTCCCACCTATCTTCCTCCTGATTGGCCAAACAGTGCTTTACTCATCAACCAATAAGATAAACATATTTACAGAATGACATCTCCCATCACTGTCTCTCTGTCTCCATCTCTCTCTCTCCATCTCCCTGCCTCTGTCTCTGTCTCTGTTTCTCTGTCTCTCTGTCTCTACCCCCGCTCTTGTGGTGTTCATACACACATGGTGCATGTAAGTGTGGAAGCCAGAGGTCAACTAACCTCAGATACTGTTCTTCATATGTCATTCTCCTTGTGTTTTGACACAGGGTCTCTCCAGGGGACTTGGAACTTGCCCATTAGACTTGGCTGTCTGGCCAGCAAGCTCCAGGGACCCACCTGTTCTGCCTCTCTAGCACTTGGATTACAAGTATGTTTCTCTGCACCCTTCTTTTTAAGAAGATAGTTGGGATTGAAGTAAGGTCCTTATGCTTTCCTGTCAGACACTCTTACTCAAGTTATATCCCCAGTCCACAGGGTTTACTTTCTAAAGATTAGGTGAATTTTTTCTAAAGTATTGTCACATACAGAGACTTTTGAACAATTCCTCACTGT